CCCCCCCCCTCCCCCTCAGCCTTTATCCCTGTCCTGTCACGGGCTTCGCTAAAAGGAGGAGGTACCCGTCTCGTTTGTTTGCCCACGAGTTTAATGACAACAAACACGCCATTGGAACACATTTAGATATATTAATTGGACAAAATTAACTTGGGCTTTGACAAAGCACCACTAAATTAGCTGACACAAAATAATACCTTATAAAATAAATAAACTAATACAATTTATATGTTGTCAGGGAGCACAATTGTCTTCGTTTTGGCCTTCTGTAATCATGTTCAGGTTGTCATTCCTAATCATATTGCTTTGTAATTGTGGTTTCATTTGCAACAACCTTCAAACGTTTTAGAGTCAGCAGAATTATCGACTACGGACGTGGCGACCAAGACGGCTACGAGGCCTATGACCACGGTGTCAGCCACAACGACATCGCCAGAAACCACCGCCTCCAGTAAGTAAGAGAAACAATGAAATGATGTCATGCTTTCGATCATTATTATAATGTGTCAAGCAACTACACCTTCCCTCTCTTTCTCTTTCTCCCCCTCTCCCTCTTTCTCCCCTCTCTATTCACCGACCACCCCCTCCATCCCTCTTTCGCTCTCTCTTCATCTTTGTGTGTCAGTCGAGTGGTTTAAGCATTTGACTTGAAATTCAAAGGTCGTGGTTCAATCCCCGACACGGCATTAGCCACACCCGACCCAGATGAGATAAATGGGAACCTAGTAAGAATTAATTCCTTAAAATAATAGAGCGCCGTAATGCCTAATGGCAACTAATCTTCCTTTGCCGCACTCGACCTAGGTGAGGTAAATGGGTACCTGGTAGGAATTAATTCCTTGAAATACTGGAGCGCCGTAATGGCAGCAAGGCTAAAGCCGGGTTAATTATTAGTGCGCCTCGGAATATAGTTTTCTAGATAGATGCTATATAAATGCCTATTAATATTGTCACTCTTTCAGTCTTTATCCGAGTCTGAGTAATAGAAACAATACATTGACGTCATGCATTTGATCATCATTATAATGGGTCTTGCCACTACCACTTTCCCCTTCTCTCTATCTCTCTGTCTGTCTGTCTGCCTCTCTCACTCTCTCTTTCTCTCGCTCTCGCTCTCTCCCTTCCCTCCTCCTCCCCTATGTTTCATTCATAAAAACAAAAATAACTGTATGAAATACCATTGCTATCTGCGATGGTGATCAAAGTTCCTGTAGGTATTGATTTTTATAGCTGTAATTTTGTTCATGTCTTCGCATCGACTTTTATTATTATTATTATTTTCGTCATCATCATCATCATTATCTATTTTTCTTTAAATATTTCAGTTTCTACCCAAATGACCACTTTGTCTACTTTCTTAAAATTGAGTAATTTACATATTGTATTTTTCATCTTTTCAGCATGCTCATCCCCTCCGGTGGATTGTGAATTCGGCGGGTCGTTCTACAATTTCAGCACTTCGGAGATGGATCATGCTTCTGCGGTTTCAGCTTGTTCCCAATACGGATCCCATCTGGTCTTCATCGAGTCGCCAGAGGAGGAAGACTTCATCGCGCGGCATGTTGAGTACTACCGGCATACCTCGAAGACTTACTACTGGATCGGGCTGACCGGCTCAAGTCCCAGTGAGGCAAGGTGGCTAGACGGATCAAGTCCTACATATAATAATTTTATCGATGGTTCGTTCAATTATCATGGAAACTGTTTTAGTATTAAGTGTGGGGGTCAATATAGTGGATGGTATGATTGGAATTGCTCCTGGAGCAATAGATTCATATGCGAGAAAGAAGTATAGGGACATAAAAATTGGAGTTGCTTCTTTCAATTTTTCATACCGCCTGGTTGCACCACTGGATACATGTAAAATCAGGTTTTCGTTGCTTTGTCATTGTGTGTATAAGTCTATCGGAGCTGTAGGAATGTTTAAGTTTGTGATTTTTGTCGTTCCATGCACTAATTTTCACATGAAGAGCACTGAAAAGATTGTTACGGAGGTGTTAATTTATGGTGTTTAAAAGACGGAGCACTTTTCATCTTTACATTCAAGCAATTCGAAATAATCATATTAATGACTAGAATCAGTGGCGGTTTGTTCTTTTTGTGTTTTATCGAATTTCATTTTTATTACCAAGAGACTTTATTCAAACTTCATTGTATAGTAATAGTTAGTGCTTCACGAAATGATGAGACGTCAAAAAATATTTGATTACAACATAAAAGTGCAGTTTGTGTAGTAAAGTATTTATAGGGTCCATGATACAAATATACATACCTGTATACATAATTATACTTACTTATACATGTACATGTAAATACACATACACATATACATATGCATATACATATCTGTCTGTGGTCTCGAGTAATGAGCTTATACTTCAGATACGACTAGAACTAGTGGATAACGAAAACAAATATTGTAACGTCAATGTGTCAAAACACACGGCAGTTTATGACTTTATTTACTTGTTTTAAGTTTCAAGTTAATTTTATTCTATACAATCATAACCTAAATAAATAGAATACAATGAATAAATGCATTTTTTCCATTAAAACTATATACAATACATGACATCGTGTCATATAAGTATTTCAAGACAAGGCAAACGAATAACGAAAGACAAAAGTCAATATTTTATCTTCCAAACTTAAGGTAAAATGAATATGGATGTAGTGTAAAATATGAGATAATCTAAAGTAATATGCTCGGTTTATAAATTATTAACTATACACTGCGTCCCAGAAAAAGATAAAACTCGAAAACAAATAGATATTGTGAATAAATATAGGTGTATAATAAGATGCTTTGCTTTCATAGAGTAAAAGTACTATGCTTTCCAATGATACATTGATTACATTAATCTATACACGCTTCACTGTGCAACATTGTTTTTTAAATGCCATGTCAACATTCACTTGTGCCAGATTTGTGTAAAAGAGTAAAACCGTTAGTATCAAAATATCAAACGTGAACATGACCGATCATGACCTGGAAGAAACACACATTTTAAAAGCGAATGCGAAGATTATTTTATAGAATCTTTAGACCTGATACATGTACAAGGTGCAATACTTTATTATAGCCGTATGTTCTGATTCGTTAAATTGAAGATATGCGGGTTTTCCATTAATAGAGGTGTCAACTTAGCGATTAGCTTCACATCCTAGTTGTGACTCTTTAGAACCACTACAAGGTGCAATACTTTATTAAAGCTGTATTTTTCTGATCCAGAATATTGAAGAAATGCGGGTTTTTCCATTAATTAATAGAGGTGTCAACTCTGTAACAATTAGCTTTACATGTTTTGCACAACATTGTCGGGAAGGGTATTGATTATATTTTGCAGCTATTTACTGCCAAATTGCCTGTACATTCTAGCTACTCTAAATTTCTTGAAAATGCTGAAATGTTGACCATCATGTGCAGGCGTTGTCTTCTCTGAACGCTCCGGTGCGCCTTCTCCTGTGTAGATGTGTATAAGAAATGTATTAATGTTTTAATGCTACGTTTATGTACCTTGTTTCTTAATTTGCCTTTTAAAGATCTCCTCTCTCTCTCTCTCTCTCTCTCCCTCCCTCTCCATGTCTCTCTCTTTCTCTTCTATCCCCTTCTCTCTCCCCTCTTTTCTCTCTCTTCTCTCTCTCCTCTCTCCTCTCTCTCGCTCTCTCTTTCTATACCTCACTCTCTCCCTCTCTCTTCTCTCTCTTTCTACCTTCCTCTCTCTTCCTCTCTCTTCCTTCTCTCTCCCTCACTTCCCCTCCGTATCTCCCCTCCCCTCTCTTTCCCTCTACCTTCTCTCTTTTTCTTTCTACCCTCCCCTTTCTTGTCCCTCTCTCTTTCTCTCTCACCACTTCTTCTCTCTCTCTCTCTCTCTCTCTCTCTCTCTTTAGTCATTTATCTTCTTTTCGATTTCCTTGTCATATCTCGCCTTGGTCTAGCCACATTTAGCCAGCCGTTGTATATTGTATTGTAACCATATTTTCATGTGTGTGAAACAATATGTTCTTCTTAAGTGTATATTTGTTGGTTCAATTTTGTTTACACTATTCAATTTCATTGTAAATCAACCATTATGAGTTCCTGAACTTTACGTGTTGATGTTTTTAAACCGAATAAATAAATAAATAAATAAATAAAATAGAGCTTTATTAATAATGAAGGCAAGATTAATATATACCATCTTTATCATGAAATAATGCATCGTGGAAATATCGTTGATGGTGAGGGAAAATGGGCAAACTTTAGTTAGTGAATGGGTCTGCAAATGAAAAAAGAGCAAGTTAAAAGATATTTAAAAAACAAGAATCAAATTGATGGGTGCCTTACATTTTGATAAGAATACTTATTTTATCAGTATTGCTGTTATTATTATTATTATTATTATTATTATTATTATTATTATCATTAACATTATTATTACTTTTGCTGTGAATATAACTATTATTTTACAAGTTAATCATTATACTTAATGTAAGTAAAGCCGATGTAAATATGCAAACTTGATACGATGGGAGTTGCCATGTTACAGGATGATTCATTTTCTAAAGTCATTGAAATAGTAGCATTAGTGATTAAATGTTTGTTTGACGTGCAATAATCTAGTTTAAATTACTATACTGTCAATTGTGTTTGTTTGAGTAAGAAGAAGAGAGATACACAGCACATAAGAAAGAGTGGAGAGGAGAAATTGAGAGAAGTTGTAAGGAAAGACATGTATAATTTAGTCAGAAAACTCGAAAGGAAGAGATAACGAGTGAGAGAATGTGAGAAGATATTGATTTAAAGTGAGATATATTTGTCATGAAAGAGATGTATGATAGAGTGATTTAATTTGAAAGGAAGACTCAGATAAAGATTATAAGAAGGTGATGAAGGGAAAGAATTTGTGAATGAAAGGGAGTAAGATGATTTAAAAGAGAGGAAAACAAAAGAGTGAGAGAATGTGAGAAGATAATAAAGTAAGAGGTTTTTAAGACATATAAATTTTAAAAGGTAAATGGATTTGAATGGAAGAAATAAAGATTGTAAACAGATTGTACGAAGATGATAAAGGGAGAGACACATTTTAAATGATTTATTTTATAAATGATAATAAGCGGTATATATGATTGAAAGAATTTGAATAGACGTGATGAACATATAGACTGAGAGAATGTGAGGATATAAAATTGAAATTAGAGAACTTCTTGTATCACGTTATATACAACCCAGCATCGGGAAAGGGTGATTAGTATTTTCTACTATAAACGGAAAGAATAGAGGAAAGAAGCTTATACCTACGATTAGTCTCACTGGACAGCGCCTCCTAGTGGCGAAGTCCCGCAGCATAATGTGTTAGCATATTGACTTGTACACAAACAATCATTAATTTCATTTTTATATTTTTTTAAACGAAAATCACATCAACTTTTCATTAGGAAACTCCTTCATATTTCTTCGTGACGTAATTATTCGTGTCCCCCTCTCCTTGCACCTTGGCGCATTTATGGGGATAGTATGCGCATACTTTGATGCATAACGATAATATTTTTGAAAGTTAAATAAAAACATTCCTTTGCATAGTCCTATGAGCGAACATTTTTAAAACAAATTCTGCGTGTACGGAACATTATTATTTCTTATATACTTGTGTATTTTCCTCGATCTCCGAGGAGATATTTGGACATTAATATGTGTGTTTATATATATATATATATATATATATATATATATGTGTGTGTGTGTGTGTGTGCAGGGCCCTGGGAAGAGGGGTGCATTTTTTTGTTGGTATTATATTTAATGTATATCATTATGCTTCTTTTACGAAATTGTCACACAGCCGACAGCCACAAATGACGCTTTTTTTGTGTTATTTTTATTTCTTAACTTTCTTTCACAAATCCTATAACATGTATCCCTAGCTGGCACGCCACCCAATAATACTCGCGACGCTCGATACCGGCTCATAGTACATGGGTCTGGTGGGACTTTGCACTTACCCGGATGGCTAGTCAGCTCATGTGTGTGCGTGTCATGCAAAGCTTGCAATATGCCAATCTATGTGTACAGTGATGATTGCAAGGTTTTTGTGTTGACAATGGAAACCAAATTGCTGGAAACTGAATTTAGACAAGGACACGAGACTACGAATCGTCTTCTTTCTCTAATAATTTAATGAAACGTAAGAAAGCTCCCGCGCTTTGCACGGGATGGGCGAAAATGAATTCAGACAAGGATTAAGAGTATTAAATGAATGAAACGGCGAGGCTTCCGCGTTTTGCGCGGCAGGGGAGAACTGAATTCAGACAAGGATTAAGACTAATAATCAAATGAAACGTCAAAGCTTCCGCGTTTCCCGCGGGAGGGGGGAAACTGTATTCAGACAAGGATTAAGAGTCACAAACTGTACAACGAATCGTCTTCTTTCTCTAATAATAGGGACTTTTAGATTTGCACGTCGATAGCTTTGACTGCAACGTGTGGCGTCATTTTAAGGCACTGCGCATGTGTCACGTCGTCTCAGTGGGCGATAGAGAATGCGTCAACCTTGATTTTCCTAAATCTAGTACGGTACTAGTATGCCGCGTGCGCATAAAATATACAGTTCCTCAGGTAGACAAAGGAACATCCCTTCCCTGCTATTATGTAAAAATGTGTAGAACAGGTGTCACATGCATATTCACCTGTTCTACACATTTTTAAATAATAGCAGGGAAGGAATGTTCTTTTGTCTACCTACCACAGCAATGGGCCGTTTTCGTAATGTAACTAAATTTAATGCAACAGTCTTTGTAAAATGCCTCAATACAAATTACTTTATTCACCTGATAAGAATAATAGTATTTCAATAGACAGAATCCGAACTGCATACAGTTATTGCCAGGTTGGACAAATGGCTTGACCTACCTAGCAACAGTTAATATACACATGTATGCAGTAACATTCTGACTATTGAAATACTATTATTCCTATCAGGTGACTGAAATAATGTGTACTGAGGCACTTCACAAACACTTATGCATTAAATTTGGTTACATTACGAAAATGGCCTATTGTTGAGGGTAGAATGAGGAACTGTATATTTTTTCCTCTTTCTTTGTCCGTCATGTTCATAGTATGTTACTTCCTGCATGCATGTATATCGTCGGGTGAAATCTAAAAGATTTCTAATTGTAGTCAACATGGGCAATTGTGTACGTTGACACGCTTGATCAGTCGGCGTTCGTCGTGTTCTCGTCCACTCAATCTAAAAGTCCCTAATTTAATGAAACGTCGAGCGATCGACGCCACTGATAACAACACAGTTTATACAATCGAGATAATTGTTGCAAGTACTACAGGTACAGTACCGGAACACCGTCCTCGGGGGGGGGGGGGGGTCATTGTCCTCAGGGGTAGTTGTCATCGGGAGGTAATTGTCCTCAGGGGGTAATTGTCCTCGGGGGGTAATTATCATGTGTTCATGAATTATTCAGACTTTTTCATGCCGGAAATATACGTGAAGGTAATGTGATGAAGTT